TGTAGGCGAGCGTGCGCCGGTTGCGCGCGGTGACGGTGCGGTCCTCGTCCGCGCCGAACCCCAGCTCCTCGTCGTCGCTCGAGTTGGAGTCGCCCCACTCGGCGCCGTGGCCCTGGCGCGCGGTGGAGGCGGAGCCCGCGCGCATGCGCTGGGCGGCGATCTTGCTTGCGCGCGGGGTGCGCGCGGTGGGCTGCGGCGGGGGCGGGAGGGAGAAGTTTGATGGGGGATGCTCGTCGTCGGGTTCTGAATCTGGATGTATCGAGTTTGGATTTGAATGCGGATTCGGATCCGCAGAGTCGTGGTCATGGTCCTCGTCCTCTGCAAAGTCGTCGTCCCAGTTTTCTGTGGTCGTTTCGTGCGAGTCGCGGTGTCGTGGCTGCGGGTCGTGAGTCTTGTCTCGTAGGTCTTTATCTTGGGCAAAATCATGGTCTGAATGCGATCGTCGCGCGGTCTTGTTGCTGTGGAACTCAAAGTCGTCGTCCCAATTCTCGGAAGCTTCTGTAGTAGTTGGTGAGTATTTGTGTGCACGGGGTAAGGAGACGAAACGAAGAAAAACGCAAGGCACGCTGCATGGGTCGGGAGCAGTATAAAAACCCGCGAGACCACAGGAGACGACGACCGTGATATTCGGGATATCTCGGGTGCCGCAAAGATGTCCGCCGTCGCCCGCAGAGAGTGCTCTCCTAGCCATAGACCCAGAGACCGGCGAGAAAACAGGCTTGACAAGGCCACCCGAGCCTCCGTCGTCGGCGTCGTTATGGCTAGCAACGAGGCTCTTGAGCCTTCCACGCCAACATCCAACCTCCCACCCGCCCCTCCAGTGTCGTCTAGTGCCCAAACCCGATCCACAACGCGTCCCTCTGGCCCCAAAACCGCAGGAGAAAAAAAACTTGATGCCCACAAACACACCTGAATTGTGCACCATATCGTATGATCATGAGTTTCTGTGCATATACGGCGTCAGCAAACGGATTCCCTTTCCTCAACGACCCGATACATACCGTGGCTTTGTGAGAAGCGGGAGAGGCTCAAACGTTCTTTGGCGAGGGATGGAACAAGGTAAAAGGGCGTGACACGGTGTGACTGTCACACGCCAGGGCCGGCGTTCCCTTGTTCTCGTCTCCGCCTTTGTCTGGCGCCATTGCAAGCGCTGCTTTGTGTTCTTGTTCTGCTTGGGCCTGTTTCACGTCTCTTGGGCCTCTCCTCTCCCCCAATTGTCTCTTTTCACCGTTTGGTCAGGGTCGCCCGTCACGGTGGAGACGCGTACGCGTTTCACCGCGTCCGGTAGCGCATGCCACTCGTTTGAAATATTTACTCGCCTGTGTTTCTTGTGCTCATGGACATCGGGCATCGATTCAGCCTCAATACCGTCCTCGTTTCGCCTCAATTCACCGTCGATGCCACTGGGTCTTCATCTTCGGAACCAGGAGACCTTCCTGACAATTTCCAGGCTTTTTCTTCCTCCGTGTTGGCTATAATAAGGTCATGGATGCACCTGCAAGAAGTACGCAACAGCCTGATACCAAGAAAATAACCTTGCTTCCAAATTTACGTCGTGCAACGATATATTCCTCAAGCGTTCTCCCTCGATCGACCGAGCAATAGATCTCAAGCCTCGGTAGTGAATGTTTCACCCCAGTAATTGTTTCATATGATGCATTAACACTGGGATACCCACTTGATTCGGGACTGCGCTGTACAGGATTTTTTTGTCCATTTTTCTGCAGCCAATTCGCCGTCGTTTGACATCAGATTCCCTTGGTCTGCCCACCCGGAACACTTCTTCCAGCCGCTCGATCCTTATTTCCTTGCCTTGTGCTGAGTTGCGCTGCAATCTGTTCCACCTGGTAATGCGGCACTACCGAAACCGAACACCATACAACGAGGCCTGGTTCACACACCCACCCCAAACTGTGAATAATCAACCACCATGGAGACAGGCACTTACTTTTCTCTCTCCGGGATCTGAAGCATCGATCCGAATCTACTTCCCATAAATCGTAACCCCGTCGCATCGTTTCGGTACAACTTTGCCTCTCAAAATCTACCTCGATCGAACCAGCAAGGAAGCCCGGTAGCGGATGGTCCGCACTGTGATGCAGTCACAAGAAAGACTGGTGCATATTGACAGTGGGTTGCCCGTTCGATTCGGGGCCGGGCCAATGGTCTCCCGTAGAGCTTCTTTTTTTTGGCTGGCCAGAATCAAGTCGTTCCAGCCGCCACGTAAATTACAACTTGACAAGCCGCAAGTTAGTTGAAGGAAAAATAAACCGGTGAGATTTGCAGGCTGGTTCATCCATCCCTCCGCTTCGATTCTACATCTCAAACCCTCCTGCAAGAACGCCCGGTAGCGGATGGTCCGCGCCATGATTCCGTTCAGGTTGACTACAGTGCAGATTGACAGTGCACTACCCGTTCGATTCGGGGCTGGGTTATACGATGTCACAAGGCCCTCTTTTTTCGCCAGACTATAGTCGTTCCGGACGCGAATTCCAACTCGCCAAGCCGCAAGTTAGTTGCAGAAAAAACAAGCCTTCCTCAAGGTGAAATTCGCTAGTTTGATTCATCCCTTCACTTCAAATTTGCATCTCAAACTCTACTCCAACCCACTGAGCAAGAACGCCCGGTAGGCACCGTGACGCATTCAAGGCGGCGGCGAACGAGCGCATATTGACGATGGACTACCCGTTCGATTCGGGGCTGGGCTATATGATTTCGCAAGACTGCCTTTTTCGCCTTGCAAGACTCAAGTCGTTCCTTGCTCGGACAGCCGCGACGCAAATTACACCGCGTACAATCCGCAAGTTAGTTGCAGGGAGAACCAAGCCCCATTTTTATCGGCGATCGCTGCGTTACAAATTTCCATCTCAAAAGTCTGCCACCACCAAGCTAATGGTCCGGACCCGATAATGTTGACACCACTGGGCCCCATCGATTCAGTGGGCTGTAGACCGACCGATGTTTGTTGCCCAAAGTTACCGAGCAAGCCGGTCTTTTATTTGATCCTGAAGGCAAGTTGATTGGGCAGACCAGGCCTTCCCTGTTTTCATCGCAAGCCAAGCCTATGAGTTGTCGCTCCGTTTAATACCTGCGTCTTAAACTCGACTTCAACCGACTAGCCCAGTAGCGGATGGAGCCCATTGTGATCCAGCGTCGGATCGACACAGGCTACCCGTTCGCTGGCCATAAAGCAATGATCTCGGCTAGGTCAGTCAAGCTGACGGCGTTCTGGCCTTGAATGAAAGCCGTAGCTTTCCCCGGGCTTTTTGTGCCCTTGGAAGTTGGCACTCACCGGGGACTTGGAGGTTGCTTGAAGGCGGTGAACTTGAATCGGGATATCGAAAATTCCGCTGGACGCGTTGACTCTTCAAACGACGGAGGCATGACCAAAAACGACGTCGGGAGGGTGAACTCATGAGCGCATACCGTTGGCCACTGCTTGCTCCGCCGCAGTCGCAATGGAAGTTAAAAATAGCCTTGGGCCGCTCATTCCAGCCGACGGGATATTTTCCGCCGTTGGAACCCTTATTAGGCAACCAATACTGCTTTCAACCATCGGGTATCAACAGCGCCCAAGGCACGTCAACTGCTCTGCGTCGATCATGACTGCGGTCAACGAGCCTTGACTGCGCCCAACGCGAAAAACAGACTTCGCCGTTCCAAGTATAAATGAGACGGAAGATTGCGAAACAGTGCACGCCTCCCCTTCTTCAAGCTTCTTCACAAGCATGTCTTCCTTTGACTACGCCACTGCCTTCGGTATCCACTCAGTTGCCGCTGCTGGCATCTTTGCAGCCCTTTTCTTCGTCCTCGGTATCTGGTACATTCGACAATCAGTAAAAAACACAACGGGGGTGTACATTATGCTCACTGTGTTCTGTACAAGTACGCTTTTCCGTGACTGTCCAAGCTTCCAGACGCTTACGATCCTTCTCCCAGTTCGCGTAACAGCATTCATAATTCGGGCCATCATGGCCAACTCCACATCCGACGGTTCAAACTTAGATCTTTTCATCGTCGACCAAGTCCTCTTTGCAGTCGGATTTTTTGCCCTGCTATATTCTGCGTATACCCTTACTCTTGACCGGTTCGTTCGAGAGTTTTTCAACACTGTTGAACATTGGTTGACCAATCGTTCATTAGAGACGTACTCGCCGGTGGGAAACGCGGAAGCATCTTCTCGTTCAACCTCCTGCGGAATCCCCATGCGTTCAGAATTATCCTCTCGGCCGCCGTCGCTGTGGGCATCGTCGCCACCATTGATATAACTAGCTCTAAATCGAGTGAAGTTTCCACCGGCCGCACCCTGCGCAAAGTCAGCACCATTGTCTTCCTGGCTCTGACGGTCATCCAGGCGGGGCAAACCTTGTGGTTTTTCAAAGATAGCGGCTCATGTGCGTATCGTCCTGGTGTGAGTATTTGACTTTGGGTTCTGACAACAGTTGTGTCTTCAGCTTCGGCGCATCCGTGGGGTCATCGCCATGGGAGATATCTTCTCTGCCTCATCTCCGTGTTCATGCTCGTGCGCGAGATCTTCCTGACTGCGACGATGAACAACTCCACAAAGCAGAATGATGAACGCCTGTGGTACCCGCTCGTTGCACTTCCGGAGTTCCTCGCCGTGGTCTGCTATGCGGTCTCCGGACTAGTACCCACGAGGGCAGCTTTGAAAGAGGTTGACTCAGAGTAGACATTTTTCGCCGAGTAATTTATTATTGTGTTCAATCGAGGGGCTCTGCGCGCATCCCTTTTTTTATGCCTCGAAATTGCATACAAACGCGTTGGCGATGTTAGTGGCGAACAGATGTAGCGCCCAAAAATGCGGTTCGCAACTCACGACAGTATAATTTAGAGTCTTTCAGGATAGATCGGAAATAAGCCTACCGTCTCATCGCATCGACATGGAAGTGAGATGGTGAAGGTTGAATTGAAGTTGAAACGCCTTTAGACGCTAGAAAGTAATTACCCGATGTGGGGCTGGCAGATGAACACTTTCTATCGGGCACATGGTGTAGTTGGTTATCACGCTCGCTTAGCATATTACATAAGCCTGCGAGAGGTGTTGGGTTCAATTCCCAATGTGTCCATTCTTTTGCGTGCCTGAGTTCTGGAGCTTTTTCTTTTGCGTCTTCTGTACTCTTCTTGCCCCTGCTAAGGGGTCAAGCAGAAGCAGATCTATCTTACCTCGACGTGAATTACTCTGAGGTGCTGCTTACCGGTGATTCCCTCGAATCGTGAGATAGTTTTGTCACTGAAGTTAAGTGTGTGTTTTGTGCGCACTCTCTGACTTGAATAGCACACACGCCCATGCGTTTTGGAGAGCGGAACCGGTGACAGTTCAAAGCAAAAACTGTTATTACAACTAAGGAGATACCTACCGAGATTAGACATTGTACGAAAGAGCTACAGATTTGTGTTAGTACGTGAGACGGAAGTATTTAAGTGCTACAAAGGTTTAAGTGAGGCAACAAGATGGATGGAAGATGCGTGGGGTTCATAGGGGACGGGCCGTGCCGTCGAGGTCGTGAAGAGGAATTTCGAGGAGCGTGAGTGAGGATGGGACAGTTTACGAACGCGTAGCGCGGACGACGTGGCGGGGACCGAGCATGACGCCGCCGGTCATGACGCGGGTGACACCGCCCTGGTAGAGGTACGCAGTCGTGTCTTTCTTGGAGCGATTGACGGGTACGGGCGCGGCGGAGCGCACCGGCGCGGGCTTCGTCACGGGCGTGGTCGCGGTCTTCGCGCGACGGAAGGGCGGGCGGTAGGCGGCGACGGGGGCTTTAACAGCGGGGAGGGCAACGAGAGCGGCCTTCGCGGGCGTCGTCGGCGGGGAACCGGCGAACGTGACGGAGTCATTGGAGTAGGATGTGAAATCCGAGGACGTCGTCGAAGCGGAGTCAGAGTCCGAAACGTAGTCCGAGTCGGAATCTGAGTCCGACGAGCCACAGTCGGACGTCGGAGAGAGGAGGGTCGGGATGCGGATGGGCTCTGCGGCCTGCTCGCGCCGCATGCTACGCACGCGGGCAGAGAGGAGCGTCGCGCGGAGGCGGGCACCAGTGTTCTGCTGGAACAAGGGGTTGGACACTGTCTTCATCTGGGCCTGGGCTTGGACGCGAGAGATGGGCACGATGCTGCCCTGGCTCTCCTCGCTCCAGATGTCAGTCACCGCTGCGCCGCCGAGGCGGACCTTGACGTAGCCAGGACCGTAGAAAAGCAGGATGTCGTCGCTACCGAGGGCGGCCAGCCAAGCCGCCCACGGAATCCCTGCGCCGATGGATGCGGCGAAGAGAGGCGCTGGGGGCATCGAAGCGGCATTCAAAGTGAAGGTCGCAGATTGCGTGGTAGCCAGAGACGCGGCGAGGATGACCTGGGCAGAGGAGACAGCTGCCGGCGTGAATGAGGGAATAAGGGGACGAGTGAGGAAGGCAACGACGTGGGTAATGGCGGATGAGGACATGATGAATCGACTGGCGATGAAAAAATTGTAGAGTCTGAAAATAAAGTCAGAAAAGGGTAAAATGAATGCAGAAAAAAATGTCGCACCAAACGTGAGGGTCGTTGGAGGACTTGTAGATAAGATGCAAAAGATGCAGAGAGTCTCCGAGAACAGAGGGAACGTGAAACAGACGTAAAGTGGCTGGTAAAAGGCTGAGAGAGGAGACCGGGAGTCTTAACGATACTGAGCACCATCCCCCATATTTATACCCGGCTCGCGTAACGCCACAATGCGCCCGCCTTCGTTCCCATTCTTCTGCTTTGGCGGGGACAATGAAGCTGTATGTGTCCGCATTTGGACATGGCAGCTCAACAAAGCCAAACATCAATCCTTGTCTTCAATTGTTCTCCCAAACGGTCCCTTGTACTCGGTCGGCTTGGACTTGTACTCTTTTGTTGCTTGCCCAATATCCATGCGTTTGAGCGCCGACTTCTGGCAACCGTTCTTTATTTCTCCGCCAATCATACAAAGTGCCAGCGCCGCTTGAGCGCCGCCCTGGAGTCTGGAGTTGGTCTGGAGTCACGACTTGGCGACTCGGCGTCGTTTTATTGTCGGATCCACTCCGAGAGGCACATTTATTCTTCGCGCCTTCACTGCTGCGGAGGACCTTCTTTCTTTTTGCAGCTGTGCAACCCGTTATGAAAATAATGGGACACTCGACATGCCTGAATTGCGACCCTTCTTCGATCTCGGCGGCCCTCTCGTTGGCGACGCGCAAAAGATACCTCGTAGCAGAGAAACGACCCAATCAGTTGTCCGATACCCCTTTCGGTCCTTGTCTGTCGGCCGTCGGGCCATCCTGCTGGATTCTACAGACACAATCCTCAAGCCATTGCAATATTTCCGTACTGGCTCTATCTCTAACTCCTTGTCGCTAGTTCCCAGTCTTGAATCGAGGACGGCTACAGCAGGCCTCCAGATGTATGTGTCGTCTGCGTCGCGACAGTAGCCCTGAAACCACCGGCAATGCCGTCCAAAGAGTCGGTCATCTCGGGCCTGTGTCAAAACTCGTTCAAGGTCAACGGACCCTAGCGGATAGTTTCTTATAAACAGATACTACAGCAAAATTTGTCCTCGTACCTCGCATGTTGTACCTAGCGGATGGACCGCCCTTGAAACACATACAGCCGTCGAAAAGGATTCCGCAGGCTTCCCAGAAGAATCTCGTAGGAGAACACGTTGGCGATAAATTCCGTTTCCGGTTATGGCGGCTGCCAGTCAGACGTATCAAATTTCTAGAACTTTTCTCCTGTACTACGCGCAAACTCATCTCGCCTTGAAAGCCTCGCAGCGGATGTTGGCCGCCCTTGAGCCATATGATTTTAAACACTACAGTAGCATCCTCGTTCAATTCGAGACCAAGCCCTGTGTTTTGGAATCCATTTTTTTCGGGGAGCACCACCTACTTTGCCGTGTGTTGCAGCTGAGACCGTTATCTCAAGCGACAGATACCAACGCTCTCAAACCCCAGCGCTTATCGAGCAATACAATCTTGTTTGACTCGCTTCGCAGGCACCCCGTTCAGCTTGATGTTTTCGTGCCTCGTCACCGCTGTGTTCATTAGGTGTAATGCTCGCTGGCGAACGCCTCGTAGAACGACGTCCATATATTCCTCAGTCCTGTACAATGTGTGTCCGGAACCAGCACCCTTTTTTGCCTTGGCTCATACCGGGTTTTCTAATAAAATTAGTTCCTGTTTATCATCTCGCTGCCGTACTTCCCTAGCACTTCAGAATCTGAGGAACGATGCGGTGGATTTAGTGGTCAAGTTGGGGCAGAGTGGAACGGCGGACGGAATTGACAGTTCGCTGAAGAGCGCAATCTGTGCTTCCTTATCGGCGTCCTCGTCCGACTCCTCGTCGTCGATGGCGAGGAGGAGATGCGTGAGGCTGGGGATATTTTGGAGCAGGTCCGTGAGGTCGGAATCGATCGTGCTGCGCATGAGAGCCAATTTCTTTAGCGTGCACGATGAGCGCTGAACGAAAGGAAGAGTGGCAAGGGAGAACCACACGACTGTGAGGGCCTCAAGCAGAGGTGCTGAGAGATGACGTAGAAGTTTGTCGTCTTCCATACAGAGACGGCGAAGGTGTGGGAGGATTCGGGTTTTAAAGGGACCAGGGTCGTAGGAGTGTTTCAACCCAATTGAACACTCCAATAAGTTTGGAGCATCTCTGAGGATCTCGAGTTGACGTTCTGTAGTATATGTCCCTCGATAGTGGGTTATCTGCGCCCAAGGAATCACGATAGATGACGAGTACAGGAAGGATTCGTCGGTGAAGACGACTTGATGCAGATTTGGCGCATTCGAGAAGACATCTGGAATAGAGGTAATCACACCAATTACTTCCAGTTTTTCTAAGTTTTCGAACTGGCCGTTGGCGGCTTGCAGCCATTTGAGCAGATGAGGGTGGCGAGTAGTGAAGCTACGCCATCGGCCGCAATGAGGAAGCATCAAATGCAACAAGGCAGGGTCGACGTTGTCCCGAACGTGCCACGATATATCCAGCGGTGCATGAGCTGTCCGGATGAGTTGGGCTTCAATGCGGGACAGGTGGTCGATTACGGGCGAGGATAGCGAAGGGACCGTGACGGTGATGAAAGACCAGAAAAGGCTGTATGAAAGTGCTGTTTGTCTCCAAGACTGGCAGATATGCCCAAGCCACCAGGGAGGCTGCCCTTTGTCCGCGGAAATTCTAGGGGACACGGCCAAGACGAATATCTCGCAGATCAGCTCCGATGGCACCCGCCGCACTGAAGATATTGCAGCACGAGCCAGGCGTGCGTGCTCTGCAATTTTTTCCTTCTTTTGAGCCAACGTCGTGCGAGAGACGTACAACCCCTGAATCTGCTCATGAAGAGCATGCATCTGGGCATCGAGAGCCTGGATGCACGCCTCGTCGCTCGACAGGATTCCATGAATAATTGGTATCTCAGAGTCAAGCGCATACCGGTTGCTTGTGAGCAGGTGGTCCAAATCGATGGAAGAAATGGATGGATCGTCACGCCGATCGTGGAGCGAATCCGAGAGGTGTGGCACCCCACATTTCCGGCAGGACTGCGCCATGAAACTAGTTACAGACGGCTTGTGAGACACGGTAGCGACATGACAGTGGGCGGGCCCGGCGACGTACTTACTTGAAAAGAAGTTTTGTCTTGGGCGCTTGGTGAGCGTTCTCCGGTGACACGCTCACGTGCCCCGGGCCCTCACACGCGCCGAAGTCAACGTCGCTCGTCATTTGATTTCCCGGAATTACTAGTTCACGGGCCTCTATAAGTTGGTGGTAATTTCAGGCAAATGCATGTAAGGGTGAATTTTTTGCTTGGCCTCTTGGCTATTTGACCACTTGGACCAAGTTAAGATCGCAGGTCACAGCCAAATCGAAGGAAGATAGAAACACACAAAGAACCAAATACTGATTATGTAATATGCACCGTCCCCGAACTTCGAAGTCGGAAGGATGTCTTTCGCCACATGCGCAGTGTCGCTTGCGTGCGATACTGCCTGCCGTCGGTCCGTTGAACTGATGCGCTGTGTTGGGAGCTCTGAGTCGGTAGTCAAGTGCATGACTCACAGTTCTCTGCAAGTTC